TAACTCTCCTTACCGTTATGTAAAGTGGGGGGGGGGGGGATAATAAATGGGTGGCAGGTATTGTTTGCTAACCTCCTTGAGCTCCTCAGGTGAAAGGTGCATTAGAAGTGCAAAATATGGTTAAATAGTAACTCCATAACTGTTATAGTAAATTCATATTTTGTAGGTGCAAATTGATACTCCAGTATGTATAGGTTTCAGAGTGGTAGCCATGTTAGTCTGTATCAGCAAAAACAACGAGGAGTCCTTGTGGCACCTTAGAGACTAACAAATTTATTTGGGCATAAGCTTTCGTGGGGTAAAACCAACTTCATCAGATGCATGGAGTGGAAAATACAGTAGGAAGAAATATATATACACAGTACATGAAAAGATGGGAGTTTCCTTACCAAGTGGGGGGTCAGTTCTAAGGAGACAATTCAATTGATAGTAAGGGGTAAGTTACCAAAGTGGATCTCCTTAGGTCACTGCTAGTATGAGTAGGGCCCTACCAAATTCACAGTCCATTTTGGTCAATTTCACAGTTGCAGGATTTTAAAAAATCATAAATTTCATGATATCAGCTATTTAAATCTGAAATTTCACAGTGTTGTAACTGTTGGAGTCGTGACCCAAAGCGGGTTTGTGGTGGGGTTGCAGGGTTATTGTAGGGGGGTTGTGATATTGCCACCCTTACTTTTGCACTGCTGCTGGCAGTGGCGCTGCTTTTGGAACTAGCCACCACTCTCCGGCCGCCCAGCTCTGAAGGCGGGAGAGAAGTAAGGGTGCTCATACCATGAACTCCCTACAATAACCTTCTGACCCTCCCTGCAACCCCCTTTTGGGATGGGACCCCACTTTGAGAAATGCTGGTCTCCCCTGTGAAATCTGTGTAGTATAGGGTAAAAGTACACAAAAGACCAGATTTCATGGTCCATGATGCATTTTTCCCTGCCATGAATTTGATAGGGCCCTGTAGCAGACCACGGACTCACCGGCATGGCACCTCCTGCTGGTTGTCTTGGAAATTAGCTCAACTCCAGCTCCGGAGTGCCCTCTTCTGGCCTGTGTCTTGCCTGCCTCAGGCCCCGTGTCCCTCCCAGACCCCAGTGCCCCTTTACCTCAGGGTTCTGCCCCAGCAGTACCCCCAGATTCTGGGTCTCCCCTCCCAGGGGAACCCCCACCCCTTTATCCCCACCTTGCCTCAGTGGCTGCTGCCAGTCATCATCTAGCCCCCTTTCACTGGGGCAGACTGCAGTCTGTAATGGCCACTCATCATTGGCAAGGGGGTTGAACCTGCTGCCTTTGCCTATCCCTGGGCTGCCCCTCTGCAGCCCCAGTACCTTTTTGTAGGCCTTCAGCCTGGGGGTTTACCAGGCTGGAGATCCCCAGTTCCCTTTGCCCTTCCCCAACACTGCTCTGCTCTGCAACCTTGCTCCCAGACAGCTAGCCCTTCCCACTCCAGGGCTAGAGTGAGACTCCTTCAACTCCTGGCCCCACAGCCCTTTTATCCAGGCCAGCTGTGGCCTGATAAAGCCAGCCACACCTGGGGCCAACTATCTCGCCAGACCTCCCTCAACTGCTCTTAATGCTTTTCCCAGCGGCAGCCCGCTCCAGGGCTGCTTTTAACCCCTGCCTACTGGAGTGGGGCAGCTGCCCTACTGGAGGCCCTAAGTATGATTGACACAGCATCTTGAGGAAGCTTTCAAGCAGTGTGATTGTCTGGGCTTAGTGGGGGAGTGGCTGAGTACAAGGTCAAAAAACATCTTTCGATTGGCTGGAATTTTCCTGGAAATCTCGTCTACCCTGTCTTGGCATGCACACTTCTAAATATCTGTCCTGTACCTGAATGTTGTTTTGATATTCTGTAATATTCAACTGACCGTATGGGGCCCATACTTCACACTGTGGCTGTGGAATACTCTCCCAGTGGGGGAGGTGGGAATCCCATCACTTGGGACATTGAAAACTAGATTGAATAAAATGTTAGAAGATGTACACTAGGGAACAAACCTACACTGGCAGAGAGGTGGGAAAAGATGATTTAATGGGCCTCTTCCATCTCTGACTTCTGACTGTAATATATGCTTATATTTCCATTATATTCTATATGGACTGTTTGCCTTGACTGTCCCTAATACTGGAGATAGAAGGTATATGGTTCTGTGCAAACTTATTGTTTGAATACATTGGCCCTGTCTGAAGTTCAGCCATTACTTTCAGTTCTGACATTAGTAATTGATACTGTGTTGGAGACACCCCGAATTTTTCTCCAAATGCTCTTTAAAGCTCACATTTGTTAAAATTATGGGATTCCATGAACTATGCAGGCTTAATCAATGGTATTGGCTGCCTGGGACAAAACTGCTTTAGACAGGATGTATAAAACAATACTAATTATCAAGCTGCGATGTCTTACAAGGTTTTCCACTTTAAGGTTAAATCTTGAAGTTCTTACACTTGGGAGAAATTTATGTTTTATTGTTTCAAGTTATTGATTTTTACAACATGGAGGAAGGAGAGAGGGAAGGTGTATTCACAGATGTCATTAGTGTTGTCATGCTAGTGACGGAGGGGCTGTGTAACTGCCAGTCACACACCAACACGCAGACAGAAAATCACGCTCCGCTTGCCACTTAGGTCCTTCTTGTCTGGCAAACAGTAATACATTTATCCTGTTGATGAATCAAGTCAAAATGGGGGGCAGTTTTCTCTTTAACATCTTCATGTGGGTCAAAACTACTTTTATTTACCAGGAAATGGCTTTTATATAAAAAACCCAAGTGTTTGTATTTTACTACGTATTAGCAGTTGTAGTTTACTAGAATTTTACTAAAAAGAAAAGGAGGACTTGTGGCACCTTAGAGACTAACCAATTTATTTGAGCATGAGCTTTCGTGAGCTACAGCTCACTTCATCAGATGCATACCGTGGAAACTGCAGCAGACTTTATATACACACAGAGAATATGAAACAATACCTCCTCCCACCCCACTGTCCTGCTGGTAATAGCTTATCTAAAGTGATCAACAGGTGGGCCATTTCCAGCACAAATCCAGGTTTTCTCACCCTCCACCCCCCGACACAAATTCACTCTCCTGCTGGTGCTAGCCCATCCAAAGTGACAACTCTTTACATAATCAAGTCGGGCTATTTCCTGCATAGATCCAGGTTTTCTCACATCCTCCCCACCCCCATACACACACAAACTCACTCTCCTGCTGGTAATAGCTCATCTAAACTGACCACTCTCCAAGTTTAAATCCAAGTTAAACCAGAACATCGGGGGGGGGGGGTAGGAAAAAACAAGAGGAAACAGGCTACCTTGCATAATGACTTAGCCACTCCCAGTCTCTATTTAAGCCTAAATTAATAGTATCCAATTTGCAAATGAATCCTGGGCCTTTATCCTCTCCACCTCCTCCACATGCTTCCTCTCTTTTTCCTTCTCCTCCTCCACATGCTTCCTTGCCTCCATTTCCCTCTTGTGGGCAGCCTCCTGTACCTCCTTCTCCAGCCGCATGAGTTCTATCTGTCTTTCATGTTCCCTTTGTTTTTCCTCATCCTGAAATTTGGCTAATTCCAGCTGTAGTCGAGCTGAGGATTTGGTCATTCTAACCTCTCTGTTTTTAACTAACTTTACACCCGAGGTTTAGAAATAAACAAACAAAACTTGGCTGTAAAATTTTGCTGTGCTGCAATAGAATACCTATTCTCTGATAGTGATTGTCAGCCTACAGAAAAAGACAATTCCCTTGTCTCTGCTCTGGGCCCAAATTAAAGCAAAAAACCTCCAACTGCTTGGAAACCTGCTTACCCAGCCCAAAGAAAAAGCAAATGGGTAGAACACACACCCCCTATTTACTTTTAGGAAGAAAAGAAAAAAAACCTCTGGGTTGGAAGACTGTGAATTTCCCTGCAGGAGTTAAGTACCCTGCCTCCAGGCAAAGAAAACCTGCAATTCACAAGATAATCCCCTTTTGTTTCTGCTTGGCCACAAAGCAGAGAGAAACCAAGCTGCTTTCAGTTTCAAAGCTGCTTTCTGGACTTCCTAAAAATTCCTTTTTAAAATCTGTATTTCTAGTTCAAAAAATCTCAACTGGATCTCAAAATGATTTCAGGTTAATCCCACCACTGTGCCACCATGTTTTAAAATTTTAAGAATTTTACTGAGGCAGTTACTGCCTTTATTTTACTTAGTGATAAATTGGTAAGTGTCAAAACCAACCAAAGTATTTTCCATTTCAGCCACTCCTTAGTGTTACAACTGTTAGCTTTCTATTATTGCTCTTGTTAGGAACTACTGATTACTTCTTGTAAAGATTAATTTATCACTTTTGAAATTAGATTAAGGGCCAGATATAATTAGTATAATATAGTGTGTGTATATATATATATAATACAATATTAGTATAAATCCCAAGTAACTCCGTTGAGATCAAAATCTGTTCCTTGGAATGAACCATGCCTGTTTTTTGTGCTCCAGATCAGTTTAATTAAGGTAATTCAGCTTGCCAAGACGTATACAGGACTTTGAATATGTGTGTGTTCCACCTCTTCACCCATAACTCCTTGTTGTATATGAGGAATCTGGTCTGAGTATGGACCAGAATAGTTGTACAGTATACAAATGAAATGGTATTCAGTAACTACCACATGACCCTTCCTTTCTTAAATATTCACAGTATATGCACATTGGAGAGATGGTGAAAATGTGACATGGAGTCTTTCCAGAAAAGTTTTTTTAAAAGCAGAATAGATTGTAAATGACCTATTTTTTTAAGTTTTAAAGGTTAGTGTAAAATAAAAATGACAGATAACTTTATACAAGAAAAATGAGCTGTCCCTATATCACAGAGTGGAAGTAATTGCTTCCCATGGAGAAGCTGTGCTTTGTAAAACCCTTAGCAATTCTTAACAATGTTCTATTTAAGCCCTTCTCTTAAATTTTTCCATTATCTGTTAGGATGTTTTATTTTAATGCATTCAGTCTGAAATGTTCGTTTCTTTCCCCCTGCCAGGTTGTGACCAGACTGATCCATTTGCTGGGTGAGACGATTCTTGGCAGCCTTCAGCAGGGGGGTAAGAAACACTTCCTGGGCTATTTGCTTTATTTGCAGTGCTCAGAAAAGATGTCTAAGGGCCAAATTCAGATCTCAGTTACACTGATACATTTTCCAAGTAATTCTACTGAATTCAGTGGAATACTGCTGGATTTACACCAGTAAATTTGAGAACAGAGAATACCTGTCAGAGATAAGAATTTGCCCCTGATTATTCCACTTTAGCCAGGAGTAACAATTTCAAGGGAGTAACAATTTCATAAGTACAGAATGAGTGTGCATTGGTAAGATAAATGGGATGGGGGAATGAAATCAAATGTAATTGATACCACTGAGTCCCAAAGGTACTGATATACATGCACAGTGAAATCTGCTTCAAATATTTGTTGAGAGAGAGGGTTTTCAGGGACAGGGAGCAATACTGAATTCAGTAACCTTGCACAGAATCACATCACACCAAATGGAATCTGCATGCAGGATGACCTAATGAATCTGTAGGTTTCAAAGTAGCAGCCGTGTTCATCCTCATCCGCAAAAAGAACAGGAGTACTTGTGGCACATTAGAGACTAACAAATTTATAAGAGCATAAGCTTTCGTGGCTACAGCTCAGTTTATTGGATGCATAGAATGGAACATGTAGTAAGAAGATATATATACACACACACATACAGAGAAGATGGAAGTTGCCATACAAACTGTAAGAGGCTAATTAATTAAGATGAGCTATTACCAGCAGGAGAAAAAAAACTTTTGTAGTGTTAATCAAGATGGCCCATTTAGACAGTTGACAAGAAGGTGTGAGGATACTTAACATAGGGAAATAGATTCAATATGTGTAATGACCCAGCCCCTCCCAGTCTCCATTCAAAGCCAAGTTAATGGTATCTAGTTTGCATATTAATTCAAGCTCAGCAGTTTCTCCTTGGAGTCTGTTTTTGAAGCTTTTCTGTTGCAGAATTGCCACCCTTAAATCTTTTACTGAGTGGCCAGAGCGGTTGAAGTGTTCTCCTACCGGTTTTTGAATGTTATGATTCCTGATGTCAGATTTGTGTCCATTTATTGTTTTGCGTAGAGACTGTCCACTTTGGCCAGTGTACGTGGCAGAGGGGCATTGCTGGCACATGATGGCATATATCACATTGGTAGATGTGCAGGTGAACGAGCCCCTGATGGCGTGGCTAGTGTGATTAGGCCCTATGATGGTGTCACTTGAATAGATATGTGGACACAGTTGGCATCGGGCTTCGTTGCAAGGATAGGTTCCTGGGTTAGTGTTTTTGTTGTGTGGTGTGGTTGCTGGAGAGTATTTGCTTCAGGTTGGGGGGCTGTCTGTAAGCGAGGACTGGTTTGTCTCCCAAGATCTGTGAGAGTGATGGGTCATCCTTCAGGATAGGTAAATCTTTGATGATGCTCTGGAGAGGTTTTAGTTGGGGGCTGACGTTGACAGCTAGTGGCATTCTGTTATTTTCTTTGTTGGGCCTGTCCTGTAGTAGGTGACTTCTGTCTCTGTCAATCTGTTTTTTCACTTCAGCAGGTGGGTATTGTAGTTTTAAGAATGCTCAATAGAGATCTTGTAGGTGTTTGTTTCTGTCTGAGGGATTGGAGCAAATGCGGTTGTATCGCAGAGCTTGGCTGTAGACGATGGATTGTGTGGTGTGTCCTGGATGTAAGCTGGAGGCATGTAGGTAGGAATAGCGGTCAGTAGGTTTCCGGTATAGGGTGGTGGTTATGTGACCATCGCTTATTAGCACAGTAGTGTCCAGGAAGTGGATCTCTTGTGTGGACTGGTCCAGGCTGAGGTTGATGGTGGGATGGAAATTGTTGAAATCATGGTGGAATTCCTCAAGGGCTTCTTTTCCATGGGTCCAGATGATGAAGATGTCATCAATGTAGCGCAAGTAGAGTAGGGGCGTTAGGGGACGAGAGCTGAGGAAGCGTTGTTCTAAATCAGCCATAAAAATGTTGGCATACTGTGGGGCCATGCGGGTACCCATAGCAGTGCCGCTGACTTGAAGATATACATTGTCCCCAAATGTGGAATAGTTATGGGTAAGGACAAAGTCACAAAGTTCAGCCACCAGGTTGGCCGTGACATTATCGGGGATAGTGTTCCTGACGGCTTGTAGTCCATCTTTGTGTGGAATGTTGGTGTAGAGGGCTTCTACATCTATAGTGGCCAGGATGGTGTTTTCTGGAAGATGACCGATGGATTGTAGTTTCCTCAGGAAGTCAGTGGTGTCTCGAAGATAGCTGGGAGTGCTGGTAGCGTAGGGCCTGAGGAGAGAGTCCACATAGCCAGACTCCAACGAGAAACTGCTGAGCTGAATTAATATGCAAACTAGATACCATTAACTTGGGTTTGAATAGAGGCTCGGAGTGGCTGTGTCATTACACATATTGAATCTATTCCCTTACGTTAAGTATCCTCACACCTTCTTGTCAACTGTCTAAATGGGCCATCTTGATTATCACTACAAAAGTTTTTTTCTCCTGCTGATAACAGCTCATCTTAATTAATTAACCTTTTACAGTTTGTACGGCAACTTCCACCTTCTCTGTATGTATATATAGATATCTTCTTACTATATGTTCCATTCTATGTGTCCGATGAAGTGGGCTGTAGCCACGAAAGCTTATGCTCTTATAAATTTGTTAGTCTCTAATGTGCCACAAGTACTCCTGTTCTTTTTTTAATGAATCTGTAGTTTGCTTAACTTGCTGAGTTGCCTAATAGCAAATCATTCAGTATTTAGGTGTTCCCAAGTTTTTATCCTGAGAAATTTCTTGTGAATTGCCTTGGTTGAATTAGTTTAGATTACTAATTGGGTTGATTGTTAGTTAGTGGGAGGAAACTTCCCTTACTGTTTGTTCTTCTTGGACTATAAAACAAAACCAGTTTAAAAAAAAAATAATGTTCTAAGTACTGGTAAGTTTAGAAAACCTCTGTGCTGTGATGCTCATTTATAAGATTTAAAACCATTTACAGAAATGTGTCTGTTTCCATGCAACCCATTGCTACCAGTTTCAGAGTAACAGCTGTGTTAGTCTGTATTCGCAAAAAGAAAAGGAGTACTTGTGGCACCTTAGAGACTAACCAATTTATTTGAGCATGAGCTTTCGTGAGCTACAGCTCACTTCATCGGATGCATGCCGTGGAAACTGCAGCAGACTTTATTTATACACAGAGAATATGAAACAATACCTCCTCCCACCCCACTGTCCTGCTGGTAATAGCTTATCTAAAGTGATCATCAGGTGGGCTGTTTCCAGCACAAATCCAGGTTTTCTCACCCTCCACCCCCCCACACAAATTCACTCTCCTGCTGGTGATAGCCCATCCAAAGTGACAACTCTTTACACAATGTGCATGATAATAAAGTTGGGCCATTTCCTGCACAAATCCAGGTTCTCTCACATCCCCCCCACCCCCATACACACACAAACTCACTCAGAATGATCCCTCCCGCACCCGGATCCCCCACTGAGCTGCTCACACCCATATTGCCTCACACAGAACCCTCTCAACCCACACCTGGATCCCCCACACTAAGCCCCTCCACTCTTGTATCCTGCTTTGCTGAGCCTGCCTGTCGACACTGAGAGGCAGGGCCCTGGAGTGTTTCTGGGGCAGGCCCGCTCCTTGCGCTGTGTCAGGGTTGGGTGCAGCCTCACTGCTGAGTTTGTGTCCCTGGGGGCGGGGCGGGGACCTGCAGTGATCTCCCACCTCTGTGCAGCCAGTGGCCTGTGCTCCCCACTACCATAGGGGAGCCTCCGCATTTATTTGACAAATAAAATTTGCAGAACTTTAGAATACTGTGTGCAGAATTTTTTTTTTTTTTTTGACTCAGAATGCCCTCAGGAGTACAGGGTGCATGCTGTGGGTGTAAAATGGAACAGCTGAAGAAATTTAGCCTTCAGTTCTATCCTGTGGCTCTTTTGGCTTTGGTTTTTAGATGTATATATTGGGTCTGACACGTCCTCTAACTGCTGTACGGTATGTACTCAGTGCAAAATAGATATAATAAACCATGGAAGATATTTTCTCCCCTCTGCCTGAGCTATATTTAAGCAGTATTTGCCAACCAAACTCAGCTGTCCAAGAAGTATCCTTTTATACACTGGCATGCTGTGCTCTACAGCACAATGCCACTGTGTCTAGGACGTGATGCATCACAGATACCTATACTTCATCTGGTTGAAGAAGTGTTCTCTTTGTACTAAACACTTCAAAGTTTGCTTCCTTGGTCTTGGAGCTTTAAGTGTCCACTTTTAAATTACTGGTAGCGATTGCCAGTCTTCGGTTGATAGTTTACAGTTCATGTCATTGGTAAGGAGCCATCTGGTCCCACGTGTCCTTGCTGTTTCCAGTCCTCTTGATAAAGCTTTGATACCGACTATATGCAGTGTTTCTGAACTGTGGCAGTGTCTTTCCCTCACATAGAATTTATTTAAAAAAACTTGTCTGTCTTGGGCTCAGATTAGACTTCTACAGTTTCTGGTCATACCATAACCATGAATCTCCTGGTATTTGTCAAGCAAAGCATTCTTCCTGGTTAACTGCAAAGGGCCAAAATTCCTGGCCCCATTAAATCTATTTGATTAATTATTTTATCATTTGAATGCTGTTTTTCCCCCACTGGTATTTTGAATACCAATATTGTATATGGTAGTCAAGCCATATGAATACCGTGACCCTATTACACTTAGAGTAAAGTGCAAATTGTATTGACAGACACTTACTGAATACAGGTTCTCAACAAGAGTTTTTGTGGATCAGTCAGAGTAACTTATCTCTAGTTCTGTGCTATTCCAATACTTGGAAAAATCACTATAACCCTGCATGTTGTGTTGTATTGGCTGGGAATGTTGTATAATTTGTATATCATTACAGTGTGCTCTCCCAGTATAACCCAGCAAATCTGTAATACATGTTACTTAATTTGCAACTTCCTCTGTGTTTAATTTGGTAATTTGTTAAGCACACATTAAAATTGCCACCTGGCACTTAGATTTGGAGG